TGACATGACACATGATGATTGTGTCTTTATGCTATAAAGAGCTGTTGCAAATCAACAAGAAACTCTCAGAAGAGCCGGGTGCAGTGGCTCACGACTGTAAAACCAGCACTTTGAGAGGCCAAGGTAGGTGGGTCACCTGAGGTCAGGAGCTCAAGACTAGCCTGGCGAACGTGGTGAAACCCCATCTCTACTAAAAATACCAAAAAAAAAAAAAAATCAGCCTGGCATGGTGGCAGGGACTGTAGTCCCAGCTACTCGGGAGGCTGAGGCAGGAGAATGGCATGAACCCAGGAGGTGGAGCTTGCAGTGAGCCGAGATCACTCCACTGCACTCCAACCTGGGCACCGGAGCAAGACTCCGCCTCAAAAAAAAAAAAAAAAAAAAAGAATATGGAAATAATGCACAAAAGAAATGCAAATGGCCAGTGGCCACAATAAATTGTTCGACTTTTGTAATCAAATACAAACTGAGGTTGTGATGAGATACTATTTGTTTCCCTGGTAAAGCTGGCCAAAAGCTCTAAAATGGTGAGATCGATCAAGGAGTATAATAGCATTCCACTGTTGGTAGAAATACAAATTGGAACCATCTTTCTGGAAATCTCTTCTGCCTGTTTGTACGAAGAGCTTTATAAATGAACTATTCTTTTTTTTGTTTTTTGTTTTGTTTTGTTTTGTTTTTGTTTTTGTTTGTTTTTTGAGAGTCTCGCTGTGTCCCCCAGGCTGGAGCGCAGTGGCTCAATCTTGGCTCACTGCAAGCTCTGCCTCCCGGGTTCCCGCCATTCTCCTGCCTCAGCCTCCTGAGTAGCTGGGACTACAGGCGCCCGCCACCTCACCCGGCTAATTTTTTGTATTTTTAGTAGAGACGGGGTTTCACCGTGGTCTCAATCTCCTGACTTTGTGATCCACCCGCCTCGGCCTCCCAAAGTGCTGGGATTACAGGCGTGAGCCACCGCGCCCGGCCAAATGAACTATTCTTGACAGTATAATTCCACTTTGAAAAATGTCTTTAGGAGACCTCTGGCTAGGTAAAAACGTAAGACGTAATGTTTTTCATACCATTATGTAAAACAACTGGCACATACACACACATTCACACACACACACACACACACACACTCTCTCACACAAAATCGGTAACTAAGTATCTAAAAAACACATGGACCATGGGTGGCGTGTCACACGCCACAGTTCCAGCACTTTGGGAGGCCGAGGTGGGAAGATTGCTTGAGGCTAGGAGTTTGAGACCTGCTTGTGCAACATAAAATTAAGAAAAATTGAAATTACAAAAAATGTCAAAAACAAGTTAGCTAGTTATGGTTGTGTGGGCCTAGCTTGGGAGCCGGGGGTGGGAGGATGGCTTGAGCCCAGGAGGCTGCAGTGAGTAAGGCATGATCATGCCATTCCATTCCAGCCCGGGTGACAGAGTG